AATACTAACATTAAAATATAATTAAAAAGATTTGACATTAAAAGTGGATAATAACATAATGGTCCAAAGATTGATAAAGGTATTTCCAGATAATTGGTACAAGATGGTACTATACTTCTGCAGCCAATTTTTTTCTTATGGACATTGTAGCAGCTTAAGGCAAAACTAGACCACACGGCCGGTTTATAGCCCAACTGACTCTCCAGTTGTGTGTGTAGTTTTATATATTGGGCAGGCTTTTGTTGGAAGTTATCACCCAGCCCTCTCCTAGAAAAATGAAATATCCTGGGAAATATTGAAAAGGTGGAATATATTTCCCTGGATAAGAAATGGGGAAATATGTTTTTAGGCAGGAAACAGACTCACTCTTAATAGCCCCACCTTTGTTAATGGGCCATTTAAAAAGCCTGGGGCAGTCTATTCTACGCAACAAAGACCCATCCCCTTCAGTTCCAGGGTGATGGGATTAAGTCATAATAGTATTAGCCCTACCCCACTCACCACATGGCATCTAGAAACTCAAACATGGACTCAAAACACAGCCTAGAGAGTTGCCCCTGCATGGTCCCATAGGAGTCTGACAACCAATCAGAGTACATTTCTACACAGGAACAGGAAACAGAGAGGTGGGGCCGGACAGAGTATAAAAAGCCCACAGGGGAGGGGCAATTCCACTCAGACAATTCCCCCACTTGAAGAGCTAGTAGAAAGGAACTCTAAAACCCAAACTCTGACTGTGACTCACAAATGATGCTGCCCAATTGCCCAGTAAAGCAGAATATGTTGCACTGGTGGCCTCATGAGTAGAAGTCCCAGGGCTCATTGTGTATCATTTTAAAATACTAAATAGCTTGGATTACACACTGATTAAACTCAATTTGGCCTCACTAAAATAAGAGCTAGGGCAGGAACCATCCCTTGGAAATGGGCAGCCTGTAGTTATTTAAAAGACAAAAACATGGCTGTGAAGAGTTTTGGGACTTCTGCTTGCTTGTAACTTGTCTGGAAGCTCACAGAAAATGATATCAAATGTCTGAAAATAATTGGCATAGAAAATTGGATACTGTAAATTTCTTTCCAAAACTTTTGCCCTGGCTGTTAGACCTTCATGGTTGAAAGCTCTCTGGGAGCCACTGAGGGATTTTTTTTCCTGCTGCCTCTCTCAATGCCTCTCCCTTTGCATCAGAAAAAAATTAAATCTCCCTGATCTGACCAATTTTAATCTTTTGCCAAGAATGTATGTGTCCCACTCGCCTGTTAAAAAGAAAAGAGTACGGATTGTAGGAAGTTAGCACCCAGCCCTCTCCTAGAAAAATGAAATATCCTGGGAAATATTGAAAAGGGAAAATATATTTCCCTGTATCAGAAATGGGGAAACATGTTACTACAATAGTAGTAACTGTGAGAGGGATATTGGAATCCTAGCGGACAGCCATTTAAATAGGAGCTAGCCATGTGCAGCAGCTGCCAAAAAAGTCAACACAGTTCTATGCTGCATAAACAGGGATAGAATCAAGATCACGTGAAGTGATCACTTTATAAGGCCACACTTGGAATACGGCATTCAGTTTTGGTCACCACGATGTAGAAAAGATGTGGAGACTCTAGAGAGTGCAGAGAAGAGCAACAAAGATGATTAGGGGACGGGAGGCTAAATCATATGAAGAATGGTTGCAGGAACTAGGTATGTCTAGTTTAATGAAAAGAAGGACTAGGGGAGACATGATAGCAGTGTTCCA